AGAGCCGACATCGAAGGATCAAAAAACAATGTCGCGATGAACGGTTGGCTGCTACAAGCCAGCTACTCCTGTGGTAGCTTTTCTGAAGCCTCTAGCTGAGTGGCCATCTTCTGAACTACGAGTAACAAAGGTCTGGCAGCAAAGGCGCCAAGGACTACAACTGGTCATCCTCAATCAGGCCTGGGAGGTTAGCGTAGAAACCTAGATCACCAGAACAAGGCTTCCTGGTATACTGTACCAAGCTACAGCACGATGAGAAGGGGATACCATGCCCAAATCTCAGGCTTCTACATTATGCTACGAATGCGCACATCAGGACCTGGAGTCAAGCCCGCTCCACGCAACAAGCCTGCCTGATTTGACTCTGAAATCTGATTTGAATGGGCCTGCATCACATCACGTGTTCCCAGTGGCAACTAGCAGTCCTCCTTGCAGCTTTGCCTGGTCGTGCGCAGCCTTGCCCCTTCGTTGCCAGCACCCATTTTGTTATTTCCTCCTCACTGCCTTTCCTTCTCACTCTTCAGCGCCATTTGCTGCGCCAGTTATCGCTTTGCATCGTTTTGGAAATCAAAGTTTGGCGTGCTAAAGCTCCACAAGCTTAGGACTCCTGGAGCTATCGGCTAGTTGGGGCGAGTGCGGCGTGTGAGCATCCCAAGATTGTCTTAGCCGTCTAGCCCTTGTGGCAAGGATCCCAGTCATGGGGCAAGAAATGCCTTCCCTAGGTGACAATTGTCCCATTATCCCCCATGTTCTTTCCGCTTGAGGAAGCCTTCAAACCTGACATCTACCAAGGACATCACCAAAACCGATGTTGGCTCGGGAATCTGGAATCCTCATCACACCTTAGGCCGGCCTGGCCCTTTAACCCTTTACCGCTAAGGCTGAACTCTACCTTCTTCCGAGCCACGAAGGAAGCTTGGTGGTTGATGTAGGGTGTGCTTGGGCCAAAGTACAAATGCAGAGTGAGAGGTGTGCAAAGAGATCAGCCATCATTGTGAGCAGAATCATGACACTCAGTGGAAGTTGTAATTCCGGATTTGGCTGCGGCCTCAGGATGGCAGACCCCTTGAGCTGCATGTCTTGACACCAGCTATCATAGCGGGTCAAACTTTAGTGCCAAGCCATTCCAGCCTTTTCTGAAGGAGCTGGAGACAACTGAAGATGTACTGAGATAAATGCCCATTTCTGCAGGCAGCATGTTGAACACGCGGGTGCTCTTTCTGTCCGAAACCGAGCATTGGTCACAAAGGGCAGACTCATCCCATGCAGTCAGTGAGCAGTAGACATTGCCCCAGCTCGTAGGCTTTCCAGGCCTGAGAGATGAACAGCTCAACTCCTCACTGCCACTGCGTTGGTGCTGAGCTTCTGACTCACCTGCGCCTCTCGAATCAAGGACATGACTCCCGAGTCGAGGGAGTATCCAGCAGGAGAGAAGGCCGGTGTCGGAGCAACTCCTGTCAAAGCAGGTGAGCAGGGCATGTCATAGATGCAGTCTTCCAAGCTCGTCTTGTCCATTGGGCTCATCATTTGCGGCTTCTTACAAGCAGCAACACATAGCAACACTGCTATGACGCTCCTGCCATTGAAGTCGCTGTGCTTGTCAGGCTTGGACTGGGGTATCCCGCGGGAATCATCAGGGCAGGTGGTGGAGCTGGATGAACTGCTGCGGCTGGCAATGGCATTGGCATTGACGTTGACATGTGGTGGGCCACGGGCATGCTGATGGCATTTGCTGCAAGGGGCTGGCTTTGCGTGGGGACTGGACTCAACACCACGGGACCAGGGACGGCTGAAACCGCTGGAACCAGTGGCCCCACGGTGTGGCTGACAACGCGTTTTGGTGACAGCGGCCTTAGAGGCTTCAAGAAAGGTGAACGCATTCTCCGCACCCGTAATCAATCACTCCTCCTCTTTTCTTGCCAAAACGCATTGATGCCTGAACTGCCGGTACCACCCTGCACAGGGGCTCTGATGTGATGCTGTTCATCGTTGGCTATGCTGCCACTGGCGTGCCAGAACAACGACTATCAGGTAAATCCGGTCAAACGCTTTTTGTGAACCAGCGTGCAGGTGATGAAAGTCTTTATCCGTTGTAGACGCGCATGCCATATCCCCGTACAACCCCTGTAGCCCCCCCAAATTCAAGGCAAGGCCGCAAGCCAGGGCCTTGGCCTTGGTGACGCGGACCTCTGAAGCTCCTGCTCTAACTTCTCCATTTCAATTGGTTCGCATCACTAGGTGGGTAAGGACAAATGACCTCATTCCTAAGCATAGGATCCTAGAAGCGCGAGTAATAAATGGACATGCCACAAACTAGACCCCCCGCCCATCCTCACGTTGCAGGATCCTTCTCTACGAAACCAGCTTTGTCCCATCCCCGCATTGTGGCATTGAAGCAGCCAAGCCTTGCCTGGCTCGGGCTGCTTCTATCTGCACGGGTAGGAGATGCTGACTGGCGACCTGAGGAAAAACAGTAGAATCAGATAGGACCAATATTCGTAACCAGTTTGTTTGGCGCCTTCCCTTTAGTCAGACACCTGGTCTCGCCAACTTTCAGGCAGCGGCTCACTTTGGGCTTCAGGATCGCGCTTGACCTCTGGCCACAAAGCAAGGAGGCAAGAAAGCATGGCAGTGAGAAGCGCCCAGAATTCTGGGCCCAGGCTGCGTGGAGAGACGATGCCTCTCATGACC